ATGGCAAATGAAATTTCATGTGGATAAGTGTAAAGTAATGCACATTGGGAAAAATAACCCCAACTATACGTACAGTATGATGGGGGCTAATTTGGCTACGAAAGAGATCTTGGAGTTATTGTGGACAGTTCTCTGAAAACTTCCACACAGAGTGCAGTGGTGGTCAAAAAGGCAAATAGGATGCTAGGAATTATTAGGAAAGGGATAGAAAATAAGACCCAGAATATCTTACTGCCCCTTTATAAAACTATGGTACGCCCACATCTTGAATACTGTGTACAGATGTGGTCTCCTCACCTCAAAAAAGATATTTTGGCTTTGGAAAGGGTTCAGAAAAGGGCAACTAAAATGATTAGGGGTTTGGAATGGGTCCCATATGAGGAGAGGTTAAAGCGACTGGGACTTTTCAGTTTAGAAAAGAGGAGACTGAGGGGGGATATGATAGAGGTCTATAAAATCATGAGTGGTGTAAAGAGGGCTGATAAACAAAAGTTATTTATTAGTTCCCATAATAGAAGAACTAGAGGACACCAAATGAAATTAATGGGTAGCAGGTTTAAAACTAATAAAAGAAAGTTCTTCTTCACACAGCGTGTAGTCAACCTGTGGAACTCCTTGCCAGAGGAGGCTGTGAAGGCTAGGACTATAATAGAGTTTAAATTGAAGCTGGATAAATTCATGGAGGTTAGGTCCATAAAAGGCCATTAGCCAGGGGATAAAATGGTGTCCTTGGCCTCTGTTTGTCAGAGGCTGGAGAGGGATGGCAGGAGACAAATCACTTGATCATTGTCTTCGGTCCACCCTCTCTGGGGCACCTGGTGCTGGCCACTGTCGGTAGACAGGATACTGGGCTAGATGGACCTTTGGTCTGACCCAGTACGGCCGTTCTTATGTTCTAGGGTACACTAAGGCAGTGTTTCTCAACTTTTTTTTTAGAAAGTACCATTTTTAAAAAATTATAAATACCCCCAGTACCTATCATTTTCAGACACACCATTTTTTTCTACCATTGCAACACATTTGTTTAAAAAACTTAAAAGTAGCTGGGCGGGCGATGAAATTTGTGGGTGTAAAAAGTACAAAAATAATAAAATGCAGTAAAACTTAAAACAAACATTCCATTTTCTCCAAATTTCAGTTGTGTTAACCTACCCCCCAGACTGGAGTAGCCCTAAAGGGACTCACACCACTGGTTGAGAAACACTACACTAAGGAATGTTACATTGACTATATTCTTGTAGCGACACTAAAATGCTACAGTTTAGCTGCATGGCTACAACGCCCTCTTCTTTGTCTATATGAGTTTATGCCCTCCTTTCTGCCACACAGATGCATGCACGGATATATGTAGGGACGGGGCATCAGTTGAATCCATTTCTGCTTCTTTGCTTTTTACTTGAGATTTTTATTTCTTGATTGAATGAGCCAATGATCTTCCAGAAAAAAAAGAGCAAATGAAACCTCAGGAGTGTGGCCCCTGCTTACAACAAAATGTGCAAAACGTGCTGTAACAAATGGGTCTGTGTACAGATGTCAACAATTTGGCATAATCCCACACAAGCTTAACAGCAATCCTCCAAAAATGCATGGCACCACCTAGAATCAATCAACCAGGGTCATCTTGGGACTGGATTTGACTAGAGGAACGTGGCTAGTTATTCACTGCTATGCTTTAAAATGCACACTGGATTTTTTTCTTCACTAAATCTTCTCATCCTCACCCCCTCCAAATACATTCAACACACCCCAACAAGTTGCACCCCCTACATTGAGAACATCTGGATTAAATGATCCAATGGCTCCTTCTCACTTGAAATTCTATGCATCTAGGGAATCATTGTCTTGCATGGATCCAAATCTTGCTGAACTAGTTGCTCCTTGGAAGGCTGATAGGCCCTAAACAAGACGAGAGGGTGGCCAAGAAGAATCGGGATTGATACAGTAGACATTTACCCTCTCAACTAGATTCTTTCCTCTCTTTGGTGGGGGAATCTTCCTACAGAACAATGCCCCATGTACGCCAAGCACTTAACATCAAAGCAGGTGTGACAAGGCATTTCAGTTTCTTCTCTTTAGGTGCTTCTCCTAGTGGATTAAAGGCTTTCATAACTACGGGCCGAAGAGTGATCATAGCGAGTCAGAAGGACTCTTCTGGTCTGTTCCTTCTTTGAGATCACTAACAGACACCAACAGCCTGACTGAAGCATCTTTACCAATGGCACAAGGCAATTCCTTTCTGCTTGGGTGGCTGGCAGGGTACACTACGGACCTTTATGTTGAATAAGGGTCATTATTACATTCTTATAGAGACTATATTATACATTGGAAAAACAAAGGGAAGAAGATCCAGGACGAAATAAGTCTCCACGTGTGCTTTTCCTCTCCTGTGGTACCAGTCCAGGAGCTGGGAGGTGAACCAACCCTTCACTTAACGAATGCCCTGATGATCCTCACACGCAGGTGTTTGCTCTTCACGCTGTACACGATCGGGTTGATCAAGGGTGGGACCAGCATGTAGACGTAGCCCAGGGCAATCTGAAGGAAGTAAGAAGAGCTGTTCCCAAATCGGTGTATCAGAGCCAGCCCGATCTCTGGAATGTAGAAGAGCAGGACAGCACAGAGGTGGGAGACACAGGTGTTCAGGGCCTTGAGGCTCTCCATGGTGGATGTGACACTCAGCACAGTTTTGAGGATCATCATATAAGACAGCAAGATGAGCAGCGAGTCCAACCCCATTGTTAAGAGTGCAACAGACAAGCCATACAAGTTGTTCACAGTGATGTCCGCACAGGCCATCTTCATGACTTCCTGGTGCAGGCAGTAGGAATGGGAGAGGACATTCACTCGACAGTATTGGAACCGTTTCACGAGAAAAGGGAGTGGAAATATTAGGGCCACCCCTCTTACCGCACACACCAAAGCCATCTTGGCTATTCTCGGCAGGGTTAAGATGGACGTGTATCGCAGTGGGTTACAGATTGCAATGAAGCGGTCAAAGGCCATCAACAGGAGCACAGAGGATTCAATGCATTGAAGCGAATGGATGAAGAACAGCTGGGCAAAACAGCCATCTAGGCTGATCTCCCTAGAGTTAAACCAGAGTACTCCCATTATTGTCGGCATGGTAACTATCGATAAGCCAAGGTCTGTGATGGCCAACGTGGAAAGGAAAATGTACATGGGCTCATGGAGGCTTGCATCTGTTTTTATAAAGAATATGATGACTGAATTTCCTACAATTGCAATAACATACATGATGCAGAAGGGGATGGAGATCCAGAGATAGATGTGTTCTTGCCCAGGTATCCCGGTGAGAAGGAACACTGCAAATTTGAATTTGGTGTCATTGGCAGCTGACATCTTGTACTGGCCAGGTCCAAGGAGTTAGGAACTTTCTTTCCTGAAAGGAAAAAGAACAGGAGACTAGATGCTGTATAAAAAGACATCACTCTGCTCTCAGTGCAAATCTAGAGACTCGCAGGCACCAAAAGATCAGCAAACATGTCGTTTTGGATTGATGCCACCAACTGGAGAACAGGATTTGCCAGACTGAGTCAGACCTGCAGTTCATTTAGCCCAGCATTTAGTGGCCGGTCTTGCATGCCTCAGAGGAGAGTGGAAGGAGCAATAGAAAGCTGTGAGTGAACTTGCTCCAAAGGAAAGATTCCCCCAGCATCCACTAGTCAGACATATTTTCTGATGTAAATCAGGAACATTTAAAACCCTTCCAAAATCTTATTAAAACAACCCGCACGAATGGATTTGGATTTTCTGGTTACCCATATAAACTCCCCCTCCCCACCCCGGCTTCTCTTCAAATCCTGCAATGCTCTTGGCCCCATGGATATCTTGTGTCAGGGAGTTCCACAGACTGCTTAAGCAATGTGTGATTTTACAGTTGTGACTTTCCCACAGGCACCCTTTGTGGAGCTAGAGTGTGGCTCCTTGTATCATGATTTGTGTATACACCTGGAAGGTGCATAGTGAGAATGCCCATTCTATCTATCTATCTATCTATCCCCACACGCTCCATCTCTCTCTCTCTCTCTCTCTCTCTCTCTCTCTCTATCTCTCTCTCCCCATACACACTCTATCTATCTATCTATCTATCTATCTATCTATCTATCTATCTATCTATCTATAACATTTTACACTTCTGAGAGTCCAAATTATGCTAATGCCTCTTTGAAGGACATGAGCTATAATCTCAGGGCCAGTGCTCTGGATTCAATATCATTGACATCAACAGCGTCATTCCAGATTTATAGATGTACATTCAATTAGATCCGGGCTGGCTCCATTAACTTCCCCTTACCAAACACTCCCCCAGTGACACACTCTGACCCCCAAGAATCCCTCCAAGAGGAGCTGAAGTGCTTTGCCTGACCAGCACTGACTGAATACAGAGAGTTTGACCATCCCACAGGCTTCTCTTCATCCTCGCAGGAGCTGCAGGCTCTTCCTAGTCGAGAGATTGCTGGGATTGTGAAAGTTAGACGCTAACATGGTCATGTTAACTGGGCGAGGGAGGGGTTGGTGTCACAAAGGGGTGAGCCCTGCAAATGCTAGGTTTGCTCTAATCTCCAGCTGAGGGTGCCAGTTACTTCAGACATGCTCCTGTATGAGGGAGCGTGCATAGATTACATGCACGTGCAATCACACTCCACTTCCCTGAACCACAACTCGACTCTTTGCTGACACACGGATCAGTGGTTCTTTTCTCTCAGAACTTTGTGAAAAGCCTTGCACGGGTATTGCAGAGAGTTTGTGTCCAGAACTCTGACTGTAAGTGTCACAGACAGGTTCTGGTGAGTTAATAGGAGACTGTAGCATTCAAATGTTCATTGCCCGACAAGGGTGCGTCTACACAGCACCCGAAACTCAAAATAAGCTATGCAAATTGCGTCGCTTATTTCGGGTCTATTTCAAAATAGCTTATTTCATCATTTGGTGCTGTCTTCACAGGACCAATTTTTGAAATACAGCGCTATTTCAAGCCAACAATGAGGTTTACAGGGAAGGCAAAATAGCGCTTCTACTATATTTCAAAATAGCGGACGCATTCAAAAAAACTTCTATTATATTTCAAAATAGCGGACGCATTCAAAAGACGTGGGGTAGCTATTTTGGGATACCTCTGGTATCCTGAAATAACTTTGCTGTGTAGACATACCCCAAGTGAACAGCACAAACTGACTGCAAACAGTATTTGCAGTACTTTAGTAATACTTTCTAAAGTAAAATCCATGCAGATGTTAAGATACCATGGCTCCTTCCTGTAGTGATTTCAAGCACTCTGCAGCTGGCTTTTTTATATATTTGGATGACATGAAAGTTTGGTTTCTAATAGTTCTATTACAAATGAAAAGTGTACCATGACATTTATCAATCTGTACCTTAGCACACACATGTCAACCCACATGTTGCCTTTTCTCTTCTTTCAGAGATAATTTCTCAGATTAGAGTGGAACTGAACATGCAGCACCCCATCCACCTGCATTCAATCACTGGTCAGGAAACAAAAATTGAGTAGCTTCTCTTTCTCTGGGTTCACAGCTGACTGGTTCTCCTCAGGTTCTGTTCTGCCAGCCTGTCGCCTATATCTGGAGAGCTAACAGGCACTGGGATCAACATAAGAAATATTGATTCCCTGAGCTCTTTTCTAGTACATTGTAAACTCAGCACCTGAAATTTGAGAGTTGGCAATAAGTGGATTTCAAAGTCAAACGCTTGAGAACTCCTGGACATAGAACTTTTCACACAGGAAAATAGACTTTTTCACTCTCTCTTTCTCTTGCTCTGTCTCTGTCTCTCTCTCTCTGACTGTCTATGCCTTGTGTTTATAAAACACGTACCACCTGGGAACATCACTGTAACAGGGAGTCAAGCTGCAAGAAGGAATGTGCATTTTACCACTTCTTGAGATGTTTCCTGCAGAGCTAGATGGGGTTAACTTGTGGGATGTTTATATTATGGCTAAATTAGGTGAATATAGTCTGGATCTTGTTAGTGGCAGAGCCGGTGGACGGAAAACAAGCAGGAAGGGAGGCTCAAAAAAAGCCATCACTTAGCCCACGGAGGCTGAGACAACACTCTGGAGTCATAAGCAGGACAGAGCCTGTTTCCGGTTCCAGCCACGTTACTCAACTTGTCTTGCCAGTGCGCCCAGAGGTGGCGCAGCTGTTGCTGAGAAGTTCTTCAGGCTGACAGGCAGAGAAACCCACAGGTGCTGGAACTAGGGACGCAGACACTAGAACAAGGGCTCCAGCATCCCTTGGCTTGAAGTGGTTTCCACGATATGCAGGTTTTACAGTTAGGCTCTCTGCACCCACAATATAAACATTCTTCCAGTGCCTGGGAAGTCTGAAAGGGCTGGACATGCCTGAGTCCTTGACTAAGTAGAACACGGCTCAGAAACGTTCTGACTGTTGTTTGAAAACCCTCTGGGTATATCTACACTAGCACCCTAGTTCGAACTAGGGAGGCTAATGTAGGCATTCGAAGTTGCAAATGAAGCCTGGGATTTAAATATCCCGGGCTTCATTTGCATCTTCCCGGGCACCGCCATTTTTAAATGTCCCTTAGTCCAAACTCCGTTCTCGCGGCTACACGCAGCACGGAGTAGGTCGTTCGAATTAGAATCTCTAATTCGAACTACCGGTACACCTCATTCCACGAGCCGTGGGCACGGAGTTCGGACTAAGGGACATTTAAAAATGGTGGCACCCAGAAAGATGCAAATGAAGCCCGGGATATTTAAATCCCGGGCTTAATTTGCAATTTCGAATGCCTACATTAGCCTCCCTAGTTTGAACTAGGGGACTAGTGTAGACATACCCTCTGACTCTCCCTTGTGATGCTTCACCATTGCTGTTCAGATTACACAGAATTTCGGGGGAAGAAGGCTGGCTGGTCTCTCGTCCGCCCACCAGTCACAGCCTCCCAAAGGGAAGAATCACAAGTACTGTATAAACTGGGACTTTATGGGCAAGGACAGTCAACCCACACTGTGCTGTGACTCAGGACTTGATCTGAGGATGGGAGGATTGTGGGATTCTACCCCATGAGAGAGGAGGGATTGGGAGGCCAGAAAGGGACAGGGATGCCAGTAGCCCTATAAATTTCAGGGTATCTACAGGGAAGACATTTGGAAGTCCTCAGCTTCTTAGGAAACAGAAACAAACCCTATTGTGCCTCTTATCACAGAACAACTCCGCTCTGAATTCCGGCACTCAGTCTCGAGCCAGAGAATTCAACCTTTAAAAAACATTTTATAATTAAATTTCCAGGAGTAAATAAACTTGATGCACTTTGGGATCAAACCCCGGATATTCTGTGGGGTCAGTTCTGACTCTGCCCCTGGCAGAATCCAAGCACAGGATACCCCTAGGAACAGGCCTCACTGAGAAATTCTGACTTAGAGCATCACTGTTTTAACACTGTGAGCTCACTTTGAATGTCAGATTTCCGTGTAGTTTAGACAGCCCACCACAGGCAGATGAGTCACCCTGACAGCCCAGCGGAGTCCTCTGCCGCTGCACAGAACATCTGCCAATGCAAACAGCCTGCAGCCTTTGCCCTGCACTTGGCATGTTACAGACAGTGAAACCTGCCAACGTACCCAGTTCCTGCGAGAAGGGAGCTGCTGGCACCAGAGGTCTTCACCCTACAGCACAAGAAGTCATCAGAGAGGTTGCACGGGCAGCAGGCAGTGTGTGTTCAGATAGGGAGGCAGCTGCCTTTATGCAGCATGTTTGTACCTTCCCTTGGGGCCACTTGGCCATCAGGGAACCTCAGCTGCTTGACTTTGTGTGCACCAGCTTTATCCCCATCACAGCCAATGGCAAACGGCAGGCGGCCAAATCACAAGGGATGGGGGGTGATGCTAAACAACTGGACTGCAGCACCAGCCCTGCTGCAAACTCCATTCCTGGAATCTAGGCTTGTCCTCACTATCTGTATGGATCCGATTAATCACATGGCTACTGTGAGGGCAGCCAAGTGG